GACTCGCGTACGGCTTGCTTCCGACGCGGTCTCGTTTCTCTTTCATGGCGAGCACCAACCCAGACATCGTGTATTGTGTGCGGGAAGGCTGCAACGCAGTTGAGACGGCGCGACATATATTCTTTGAGTGCTCACTGCCGTCTGCGATGTGGCGTGTAATCTTCCGAGACTGTTCGGTGTTCCTCACTTCCCCACCGTCGTGGGTCGACATTGTCTTTGGTCAAGCAGTCAGAGTTCTCCCAGTGTGGCACAACAAAGCGCAAGAGATTCAAGACGTGTGGCAAGCGGTCCGGGCAGTAGTGCTACACTTGCTTTGGACGGAGCGTAACTGCTACCTCTTCAGCGGTCGTACTCCATTACCGTCAGCTGCAGCGCTGCGTGTGGTGTATACGACTGTAAGCGCTCATATTCGTGCGTGCCTTCGACGAGTATACGATGACGTGCAACAAGCTTCGCTTCGATGTGTGCTATCGACTCTCGAGAACACGGTGTCACTGGGTGTCTTCATGCAAACCAACAGAGGATTGTTCACGGTTCGCTTTTTGGCATAAAAGCAATCTCAAGTCTTCTCTTCTATGTGAAATACTTCACTACACACTTCGACCCAATCAGGGAATCAAGTCTTTAATAGAAATCAAGGCAAAGACTCAACTTATCCGGATCACGCACGATTGAAGTGCAAAAGATCAAGGTACAACCCAAGACCTCGCAAGACTTTGTCAATGGTATATTAGCAATTGTTACGTATTAAAGACCAGACCTTAGACGAGGTAAAGTAGAGTAGTCAATGTCGTATTAAATTCCTTAATATAGACACTTTAAACTTATACTCACGATAAAACAGCGCTCGACTATTACTATGTCGATCGTCGAGTACTTGATAATGGTATCACGACTGAACTACTTGATATTTATGCAGTTAACCTGTGGGGATTTTTTATAATGTAAATATAGATCATGGCTAAGCTACTCTACAATGACCCCAGAACAGATTTTATCAGAGCTCAAGCTCTGTATCAAAAGGCAAAGGATTTAAATCATAATTTAAGTTTTCGGATAATAGAGGATTTTTATGGTAATCAGACCAATATTCAATAATTTCAGGAGCAAAAGAAGATATTTAATGGTTTCAAAATATCTTTGAACTCGTGGTATATTGATTTTGCGTTTTTGGAGTAACGGCCAATTTTGACTGCTATCAGCATTAACTCAAGGCTGGGTACGCAAAGCTCTTACGAACAAGATGACAGCAACTTTATTAGCAGCGCTTAAAGCATTTGCTAGTCTTCACAAAGTTAAGATTGATAATAGAAGCAGGTTCATAAGCTCACAGGCCCAATAATTTTTTCAAATTATACCAGATAGAGCACTCACTACAACATATCACGAAATTATGGGTAGAATCGAAATAATTGAGAAGTCGAACCAAGCGTATTATATCGTCTCAAAAGCAGGCATTTGATAAAGAAGTTGCTCAATGGAGCAGCTCGGTCTTTAAAATCGCTGATATTGATGGCTGCCGAGTCCAAATTCGTTTGACATATGGAAATACACTCTACGAAGACGCCAAGCGATCTTAAATGGTTAAAAAACAGAGACTGCACATGCTTCTATCAATCAAGGCAATATTCTTGAGGCGAACAAGATCTTTAATCACGGAATGATACGCTCTGGAAAGTAAATTTATCTGGTAAATTGGGTCGGCAAAGAGCCTGAATCCTGGGAGCCGCAACATATTCTGCGACTGGTTAACAAAAGATGGAGATTAACGCTTGCAAATGAGTATTGGGGATCGTAGTTTTGCCCCGCGCCATAAATTATAATGATCTTGTAACTATATTTGACAAAGAAATCATCTGTAAGCTTTTGACTCAAGTATATAATCTAAATATTTCTCTGAGAATTTTTGGAAATATGATACATTACGATAATATAGTAACGCGCCCAAGTTGTGTAAGGAAAGAACGTGAGCTTGTTAAT